CCCCCCTCCCCCTGCTACCACAGGGGGGGCTCCCGATGTCTACCGACGGAAATCCACTCAGGAGCACCCAAAGAACTACTGTTGCAAAAATGAGCCTTCTATACCAAAGTGGAGGGGTTCTTGCACTAAATTCCCTACTAATACGCCCCACTCAATTTTCGCGAATGTCACAAGTAGTGTGAATATACCTTTAGTCTGAGGAAAATCACTCCTAGGATCGTAGCCTAGTTATAATATACTAGCTTTTGCCCGCGGCTTCACCCGCATGAAATTTAGTTTGTCACATATCGTTATAAATTATAGCCTATGACATGTGTTATTCTGGGTTATAAACAATAATGCTGTAAAGTTTCATCAAAATCCATTCATTAGGTTTTGCGTGAAAGAGTAAAAAACATCCAGACATCTAAACATTCGCATTTATAATATTAGTAGGATTTAGGTAGGTATACAATCTTTAATTTACCTTAGAAGGTTTTCCAGTAGCTTCAACTTGACTTACTGCGATTAATATCTGACACAAAAAGTAAGTAATTTACGCTCGTATTCACTAACGATGCTTACTTAAAAGTGAAACAGCAAATCGAACGCACAGCGTTGAATAGAGCTCTGTGATTGGTTTATGTGTCATCCTGTGCGTCCACGAGCACTTGGAGACCTCATAGTAATGTTTGTGAATACGGGCGTTAGTATAGGCAATGTTATCTTTTGATGCAATATTGGACTGTCGAAAGAACGCTTGTTCGATTCCCATTGACTGCTTAATTTGAGCGTGACCACCAGACTAATGTAGAATTTCCTACATGAAACATTTAATTTTATAGGTGGCAAATTCTTTCAGTCTTCGATTTTCAGTCTTCGTTTTTCAGTCTTGCTTCTAATTTGTATATCTGGTTAATTTATTATTCTGGCTGGGAACAAGCCTTATGAGGTGATTTTACATTTGGATTGTGATAATTTTTCTATTTTCATTTTTAGAGACAATATTAACTTAGTCAATCTTTAATACTCTACCTTATCTTTACCCTCTATAAGGGGATTTACGAAAGAGATTTCATCAATCTTATGCAAACAAGGCTCTTCTAAATATTTTTCTTTTCAAATGAAATTGCAATCTCCCATTTTAAATTTCTCTGGACTTTTTAAGTGGGTAGGTACTAAGTCAATTAAAAAAAAAACAGAAACGAATGTAAAAGTATCAATAGGTGCGGGTATTAAAGTAATTGTATTTGTCTCGTAGGTATTACAGAAAAAAACAACATACCTCGTAGTAGGTATTGGCAAACAAAGCATTCAACCGGATCATGCTGAAAACAACGATAGAGACATATTTTACAGTTTAACAATGAGAAAAAAGGTGAACGAAACTTAAGACTGTAATAAAGGCACGCTGACGTCAGTCATTAACATTATGGCTGACTTTACATGCATACCTAATTAAAGTGATATATCTACCTATGTCACAGTGTAAGAAAATGAAGTAACCTTTCTAAAAAGAGCTAGATTGATTTGAAGATTTATATGAATTTATATTAAAAAGTATTCTTCTCGTTTTATTTTAACGTTGTTAAAAGCCCTGTTGTTTTGTTAGTATTGCATTACCAAAGTGAAAAATAAAATTGGAAGCTCATATTCTACGTAGATCTTTGAAAAATCCTTTATTTTTATTTTGTTAGCTACTTAAATTGTTTTAAAATACCTACTATAAAACAAAGTTGTTTGTTTGTCAGTGTCAATAAGGTTTGTGGACCGACAGAGCTAGAAACGAACCAAAGATTCGGGATTTTTATTATAAGTAACTGCTAAACATAGAGCCTACTGCTTCCAATTCTCTTGTAGATAGCCTTAATGTCATTAACCTTCCACAAAATAGAAGATTTCGCTCAAGTATGCCATTGGCATTTTCCTTAAACTTCTTTATAATTCTACTATCGAATGAACTGATTTACTGTCATTGGAACCCATAACGAATATTAATTGTACAGGTTATTGGAAATTTTTGTATTTTTTTTAGTGTTAAATGTGTCTAGACAAAAAAGTCGTTGGAACTTTTTTGGTAGTAAGTATGTCACTTTCTACAGGGTGTTAGGTAAATGGGTATATGAGCCGACACTAGCCCATGTTAACATGGGCATATGAATGGTATGGTGAAGTCAGAAATTTGATATCATAATTTTATTTTTTTTAATTTTCATACAAAATATTTTTTATAAAATCCGATTTGTATGAAAATTAAAATAATTAAAATGAAAATATCAATTTTCTGACTTCACCATACCATTTATATGACCATGTTAACATGGGCTATAGTGTCAGCTCATATACCCATTTACCTAACACCCTGTATAGGATTAAATTGATTTGTGTTAGTGGTTAAATCCACCAAGGAAATGAGAGGGGAGACATCTAAATAGGCCGGAAAATACTTTTTAGTATGTGTTAATTTTCATCCACATATTCTAAGAAGAATATTTTAGCGAAAGTACAATGTATGAACAATAAACATAATGACCTATTAATTGTTTTTCCTCTGGCCTTCGCTGGGTGAATAAGTATTTTACATCAAGTCACATAGAAAAAATGAAAATTTGTAGAAAAATGTTACTGGAAAATTATTATTTCTGTGGAAAATCTTAAATTGAACCTTGAACTATGATCTGTCTATACCACAGTTTGTAGAGTTAGCAAAACAAAAAGTAGGTTGATATACATCAAACAGGTGATTCTACTGACTCAATAAGCATGCGACTGGCAATCAAGGCTTTATAAATGCCGACTGTTCATCTCAAGTACAGTCTACCACCTATCGTCGCCGTAGAGTGAAAACCTCGGGAGTGTATTTTTGCTCATTTTTTATTATTACATTATTTGAAAGAAAACCTCGCACAACCTCTCACATTCTAGTTTAACTCACACGCTCATTTGATACAAATAACGCCATCTATGACGAATAACGCCATCTATGACGAATAACGCCATCAATGAGAACCTCGTATTCGCTCGCGTGAACTAAGTCTGGTGTGATTACCTCGTGACGACAGGTCGGCGCATGTAAAAATCGTGAAAACAGACGTTCAAAGTGCTTTTTCGGAGATTTGTTTGTTGTAACTTTAAAGAGGTAAGATAGATACCAAAATAAAGTTGATTGTTCAAAATTCCAATTGTAGTTATTTTTCCGAAAACCTCGTAAATTAGAACAAAAATCATGTAGTTTTTTTTTCGAAAACCTCGTAAGTAACCCCCAGTACATTTAGGATAAAGATTTAAAATATACATTAATGACGTATGAACGAGCTTTAGTTTTACCCACAATAACAATTAAATCAAAAATCTACGTACTTAGTACAAATTTTTTTCACCAGACGGTTTTTTTACCTCCTGAAAATTTTGCTCAAAAACACTTAAGAGGTTTTCACTGTACGACGACGCTATGTAATTGTAATAAGTACTATTTTTTAAGAAAAGTGTATAGTTTGATAAGCTGCCGAGTGTACCTGGGCGCTGTAAACTTGAATGGGATATGCTATTAGCGTGTTCGTAGCAGTTTTGTATAAACATATCAATGGAGATTCATCGAAATGTCATACGATTGAACTATGGATGGGGGTCAAGGAAAAAGTCTTTATTATGTAGCTTTTACACATACCCACACAATCAGCCGATTGGCATACCAGACTACACAAGTCAGAGCTTAGGTCGCGAGTTCGATTCCCGCTCGTTCGATGCCGAATACAAACATTTGAAAGAAAAAAGAACTCAAATAACATTACATAAATAAGAAATTTATCAAAGGTGAAACATAAAAATAATTTGGTGCATGAACAAATATTATTATCTGAATTTGAATCTGTATTAGTTTGGATTAGGTCTGTATTAGTCTGGATCTGTATTAGTTTGGATCTAGCGGCATGACCCGGCTTTGCATGGGTAGGTATTTAACAACATGATAAAAATTATAAATTTAAAAATACCTATCATACCTAGTTAGAAAACAATTTGGATTTCTGGGAAATAATTTTTGAAATCGATTCAAAAAGTACCTGTTAGATAGAGTTACATTATCAGTTAACGACCTGAAACTTTATAGGTCACCGTAATTCTGCTAACCAACGAGGGTTATGATTTGAGAGATTATGTAACTTAAATAATATTATTATGGTCTCTATTTTTAGATGTGTGATAAAACATAAAAAATTCGAGAACAAGACGAAATGAATTAAACAGTTTAAGTCTTTTATTTTCCTTGATAATACATGGAGACAGATCTTTTAATTTTCATGTGAAGATATAATCTTCCAAATTAATGAGTGATGGACAACAGAAATTAGCATAATTGTATTTAACTCCATTATTTATCTCTTAAGAAATTTTAAAATGGCTGTGCGATCCAAAAAGAGTCCCCTTTAATATCATTTTCAAGGTTACTTTTTGTTTCTTCGTTTTTGATAACGACATAAGTACGCGTAGTTATTTCATATTTTAAGTTATTAACATAATTTACGATGTAAATGAATGGAAAATACCAGATGTGAGAAACACTTACCTACTCGAGTTTTATTTGTAAGACCATTTATTTCAAGAACTTGGTGTTTTTAAGTACAAAGGTACTTGACTATGCAAGCATGTTGACTAAAGAAGGTTCCGTCAAAATTTTGATAGAGCGCTTTATGCCTCTCAACTCAACCCTAGCATAATGGTAGACAATGTTTTATTTCTGATAGGTACGTGATAAATAGGTACTAACCAAAATTATATCTTGTAATGAAAGGTAAAATTTTTAAACAAGATTATAACTAAATAGGATAAGATTTTAGCTTCATATGCGCCGTCAACATTTTTCAATCCAGAGCTAAAATTTCCTGTCTTAGTCTTCTGAAAAAAATTACAACTTGCTGCAAACTTATTTTTTCCTTTTTTTCTACACAATTGCATGGCGCAATGGAGGGTAATGTAACTAAGTATGCAATTTTTAATTCAAAATTCTTTATTTTGTCCCGCAGGTGACTCTCAAGTGAGCTACTTGTACGCCCGTCGCAAGTTCCAGCTCAACGAAGTGGAGTACAGTATCTACGGAACTGTGAACATCCTCCTTGGATTAGTAGGTGAGTGGAGACAATTATATTATTTTTAACATTTATAATGTATTTTTTTATATAGAAGACATAATCATTAATCATTTGTGCAATGCAAAACCCCGTTAACAGCTCCAGCCAAACAAAATGTTCATTCTTGTGTTAGTCCAGCGTATGAATAGGTTCGAACTCATCCTCGAGTCAGCAGTTCGACACTGACACTATTAAACTATCGTCAACTCATAAGCCCAGTTTCCATAGAGCTATCAGTTTTTATGACACTGAATTAAGTGGCCAAATTAATACTTCTTTATCCATATGCTGTGGCACTGGTTAACTGTCTTTACCTAATTAGGTAGGTGCTTACAATTGAAATCTTAAAAATTCAGAGCAAAAGTTTCGGTGATTAGTAAAACTTCGATCTCATGAGTAATATTAAATTTTCGTTCGATCGCAGAGTTTCGAATCGATACATTGTAAATTGATGTGAGTATGTGACGTCTCAGAATCTTTATCCATTTTAAGAAAAATGAAACATTTTATTAGCATCTTTTCGGTAAATGTCATTTTACGACTAAGAAACACAAATTACACATTTTATAAACTGATGCACTTTTTTCCTTATCCAAATCTGGGTTTTTTGGCAGAAATTTTAAAGGCTTTTAGCAAATCGGTGCTATATTCCTTTTTATTTCATTTAATGATTCAGTTCGGATACAAATTGAAAATATTTTAAGAATTCGTAAGATGTTTTTGTCTTTAAAAAGTTCTAACAAAAACGAATGAGTAAGATTGACGGCTTTAAGCTTTAACTTCTAAACATGATGGCAGACTCTAGCAATACAATTCAACGATGATTCTTACCAAAACTAGGTAGAGACTCTTTAATATTGCAAAACTAACACTTTGATTACAGGAAGAATATTGAATTCACTAAGTTTACTTATCACTACATATTATACGAGCAAACAAAGTCGCCTTCCTGTCTGTCTGTCCCTACGTATGCTTAGATCTTTAAAACTACGCAACGGATTTTGATGCGTTTTTTTTTTATTAAATAGTGATTCAAGAAGAAGGTTTTTAAGTATAATACCTGAGCGAAGCAGGGGCGGGTCGCTAGTTTCCATACGAATTAGCACTCTACCTCGGTGACAATTTATGAACCTTGAATGAATTATATTATTATCACAATTCAAAATATACTCGCAGTTCTTGTATAGTAAAATAGCAAAGTGAAAGTTCTTAAATTGTAGGCAATTTAAGAACGTCGTAAGCAACGTAAGCAATAAACATATTATTATTAGACTTTTTCTTGTAAAATAGCGTCTACTTCAACCACGTCTTTGACTTTTTTTACTGTTTAAGAGTTTTTTTATTATACTCAAATTGTATGTAAGTGCTAATCATACTAACCTTTATGAATCTTACACATTTGCCCCCAGCGAGAATCGAACCCAAGACCTTAAACATTTTATTCTGATCCCACACAGATGAACTGGACAAAAAGTTGATCTTTAAGGTACAAGCATTTACCACATTTATGCCCTGAAGTAATTAATTGTCGTAACTTCAATGATTCTCACCTCCCCGGCTTTTAGCGAAGGCATTGATGTAAAACGATATAAATGAAGAAATATTAATTTTTATTCCTTAAATAATACACTGGTTGGGAAACAAAAAACGAAGACGCACACCAAAGGTTTTTCGTTTTTTGACTCGTTAAACTTTTTCAACTGAACATTTTATGACTCTCGAATTTAAATTGATCCTCTTAATAATATTTTATTAGGTCTTTAAATTTAGTAAGATATCTTCTGGCTTCCTTCATTTGCATTTGAGTCACTTTTATACGGGTACGAAATTGTTTTTTGCGGTAAGTATTTTTTTCTTAATTCCGAGTTTCAAGTTTCTTGCCGCTCACTTTTTTTTAAATATGAGGAAGTTTCTTTTGGTAGCTCTTGTAGAAAACGAATACAGCTGTATCTATTTGTAACATCTTGTAAATGTCTATAAAAATGTAACTAAGTATATACTTACGAACGTATACGAATTTCAAGCTCAACTCCGCGACCAGTAACAATGGATACTTACTTGTTACTTTTTGCATTTGCATTGTCTTTCAAGTTTACATTTTATGGACCTTGTCTCTATTAAGTTAATTGTTTTAATACCCTAAAATACCTACATCGTTAACATCCTCAATTAAGACGAGTAAACACAAACCAATATAATAAATGTTTAATTTTGTTCAAGTTCATGACTTTGGCTGAGTTGCACCACCTAACTTTGACCGTAACTAAGATGATAACCGGTGCTTTTTGTATGGAGTTTGACAGATTTTTGACGTTTGTCAAAGTTAAAGTAAGATGGTGCAACTCAGCCTTGCGTTTTTTATCATCGCACGGATTTATCTTAATTTTTAATTACTGTACAGTATTTCAAATTTTATTTTATTCTGCTAATATTGAAGTAAATGTACGTAAACGTGTAAAGTGAATTAGTGTCATTGTCATTACAGTGTGACATTTTATTTTTAAAGGAAAGTAGGTTACACTTTACATTGCATGTCCTCGAAGAAGATAACTTTGGAAATTAAGAGTTGTAACACTTTATTACTGGAGATATTGTAGGTACGGAAATGATAACGCTTGGACTGATGGCATTTCTTGTGTTACTTTTACAATTTATTACAATCAAGTATTGTAATGCATTACCACATATTTTACTTGTAAAGACATTGTAAGTATTTTTATTGGATGTAATCCCAAGTTAAGCTAAATAAGTTTCTTATATTGAGTTATAGACTTACAAGAAAGTATTAGTTACAGATACATTCAAAACCAGAAATTGCCTACTCGTGCGGTTACTGAAATTCTTTAATTAAGAATCTATAGTTATTTTGAATTTTTTAAGCGTAAAAAGCAACCTACCTAGCGCAATGTACCTACGCTGGTGCATTACGTGTTTTTTTTCATATGAGCTTGTTATGCCTTGTAAAAGGTCCAGTTGCAAGACGGTGTGCTATTTTAGAAATCAAAATTAAACGGAAAAATTTAAGTGACGATTTCAGCAAGGTCATCTCAAAATGTTAAGTAATAAGCACCAGTGCATGTCTTATAACTGAAATGATAATGATGTTGATCAGTTACTAACTAAAGTTAAAATACCTCTACATATTGCCAAACTTACTGTTGATGCTCAAGTAGTAACTAAATTGAATAAAATCTTATCTTACAGATACTTAAAACCGGTTCCACAAAGTCGATGTAATTGAAAGGCCATCTTTGAGCGAATCGACATAAAATTGCATTATTAAAATCATCGCTTCATCTTTAATGCGTAAGATAATAATTACACTCATGCCTATGAGATAACCCACATTAATTATCTCTGCTTAGCCGATTCGTGTCATTTGCTGAAGTTTTCGTATCTAAGGTTAAGGTCGTCTTCGATAAGAACTGCATAATGTGTGTCACGAATACAGCAAATTGTGCTGTACCAACCAAAAATTAAAGTCGGTTTTTGAGGTAGAGAAAGCTTTCCGAGAAATCTGTAGCATGCCTACTTGAGATTCGTTCGTGAAATTATCTGTATTGATATACGCAGTTTAATTTGTGTTGCAACATTGACCAATGTCACACTAATTACGCGTTCGTTCGTTCGTTTCAGCCAAATGACTTCCACTACTGGACAAAGGCCTCCAAGGATTTTCATTACAACAGGTTATGTCCTGCGCTGCCCGCATTCAGGTGCTTCCCACGACCTTCACCAGATCGTCGGTCCACCTAGTGGGAGGAAATTGCGCCTTAAGAAACTTGTTTTTTTTATGCATAACAAGGCAGTTATTTGACCACAATGCAGTCTAGGGTACATAATTATCTGCCCTGTAAGTGCCTATTCAGTCTCACCTTGAAAAGGCCCGGATTATAGTCTTCGGGTCTTCATTTAGGTTGTAGAATAATATCCCACCAAAAACATTTTAATGTAAAATTTTACTAAGTCTCATGTAGAGCCAATCATCTAACTACACGGCCTAAATTTACACGATAGTCAAAATATGTGGCATCATCATCATCATTTCAGCCACAAGATGTCTACTGCTGAAAATAGGCCTCCCCCAAATGTGGCATAGAAAATATAAAATTACAATGACAATAAAATAAATTAATGAATGACAATCGCCTGTATTTTAAATGTGTTTACAACTGATGTAATGACATAAACTTTGATCCGAATAGGTACACAGTTAGACACAACATTTAGGTTACATAACAATGTCATATTGGCACAGGGCAAATGACATCAAATTCAAATACATAACTTACAATTGCATCATAAATGCATACTATTACGTGATAGTATCACAATTAACATTAATCTAGTCCGTGGTATAGTCATCTCCTTCTTAAATAGGTTTAGTACCTTTTCAGCGAGGAAGGGGGTTTGTATTACTTTTAAAAATTAGTCTACATTCTTCGTATTAAATTCAATCCAAGTAGCTGGTACTACTCAACCTTCAATCAGCAATCGACTATATATTTATTTATTTATTTATTTATTAACGAAGCACATGAGTGCCCAAACAACTGCACGCAGGAAAATTTAATGAATGCTACTGACAACGCCACTCTTGTAGCGGAGTTTTGGGCTGAAACTGTGTAGGTTTGTTGTCGACACGACCAAGAAGAAGAAGAACCTTCAATGGTTGGGATTCACAGGCCGCCACGCTGCATAATATTCTAGTATAGCTACAGGATTTGCAGTCGGGTTCCTTCTTTGGGTTAACTGTGTTTTATTGCATCACATGCACGTTGGCCAGTCTATGTCATTTCTTCATCATCATCTCAGCCATAGGACGACGTCTACTGCGGAACACAGGCCTCACCCAATGATTTCTACGTCGCCCGGTTGAAAGCATCTGCGCTTTCTGCCGCCTTCTTTTATCGTTTACTTATTAATAGGGGCTTCCTTTTGTAATCCATTTTGGATGGGGGCTCTACGATAAAGACTTGTTTTTTTTTGCTTTCTAAGAACATCACAGAGTCAATCTACGAGGTGACGACTTTAGACTAATGCTTTCATTTCTTCTCCAGGAACGGTCTTCTGCATATCAGTCCTCAGCAAGCAGATGAAAGTGCAGGACAGCGCTATCGGCGGCCTCGCTGGTATGAGCAGGATAGCATCTTGCTTCGTGTTTGCGTTTGCGCCGAACCGTTCTTGGTACTACTCGGCGCCAGTGTTCAACATCTTCAGCCATACTGGCCTGACTGCTGTAAGGTCTATCGCCACGAAGAGTGTTCCTACTGAGGAGATCGGTAAGATTTAGTTATTCAAATTTTCAATAATATATTTCTTCACAAATCCTTCTTTCCTTCAGTCAATGCTCTTCCATCATCAGCCTTAAACAGTCCCCTGCTGGTCAAACTCCTCTCCCAATAAATGCCATATTACCGTGTCTTCGGCTTGTTATTGGTGTGATACCTTTGTTGTCTTATCTACTTTTCACTGTTTTATTTAAATTACTACTACTATACATTTTGCCTGAGATTTCGCACGCGTAGATTTCGGTCTGCCACAGAAAAACGTGTTTCTTTTTCAAAAACTGTGATCAACACCATTCTGTCCTTTCCCGAGACTCAAACTATCTCTATACCAAAGAAGAAGACAAACTATCTCTATACTAATGTCCCACTTCCGACAAAATAGGCTCAATACTTTCATGAAAAGGATTCATAATGTAACATTTTATTTGCAGCAAAACTGAGCGCATTGCTTGGAGTGACAGAAGCTCTGGCGCCTTCCATCTACATGCCAACTTCCAGCTACATCTACATCTCGACCATAGACAACTTTCCTGGGGCATTCTACCTGTTTGACGCTGCACTTACAATTCTAGCTCTGGGATTTTTCGCGTAAGTAAAGTTCCAAAATTGCAAAGACCATAAATTACGATTAAAAGTTTGGAAAATAAGAATTAAGAATTGGATAGACCAGTTGTATTCAGCTCAAGAGCAAAATAACTTCAAAAAAGTTCTGCTCCACTTTGATCGTATAGAAATCATGATACAGTACGCCTAGCACGAAAAACTTTCGAGTTCGAATCGTTTGCGTATTCGAATCGCCATCAAAGAAAAACATACGAAAACTACAACAGCGCCCTTGTGAACGTGTCGTAAAGTGAACTTAGTATGAGAAATGGTTGCACGAAACTTATGTTGAGAATCAAAATTGTCACTTTATCGTTTAATTCGAAGGTTTAGTATTCAATTTTGTCGAATACGCAAACGATTCGAAGACGAAACTTGTTCATGCTAGAGGTACAGGGATTGTAGTGCGAGTTTACGTCAAACGCATTCGATGTCGACTGCGTAAAAAAGTGCCATTAAATGCATGACGGATTCTACAGCGCCCCTAGCGGAAATTTTCAAGAACTAAAATCATCATATATATTTCACCGCGCTCGCTAGTAACGACGTTTGATGTAAACTCGCACTAAGCTCCAGTAGTTAATGCAAACTGGTTATGTAAAATGTTCCTAAATTGTTTGTCTACATAGTTTATACACTGTATTGTTTTCCTTGTAAAATAAAATAAAAATAAAATGTGCACTTGTGGTTAGGGTTGCCGGATTTAGCCGGACATGTTTGGCTTTTTACGGTCGTGTCCGGCCAAAAATTGTCTTGTCCGGCTTTTGTTAGGCTTTTTATTCGAGCTAGAGAATAACAGAATAATATCAAGCGTACGCATCAGGATATTGGGCAACCGATGATGATAGAATTCACTCGTAAGGCTATGACACTAATTGCAGTGACATGTCCGGCTTTTATGGTAAAATATCCGGCCAAATGACCGTTTTCGGCTTTTGTGTTTTAGGACCTGGCAACCCTACTTATGGTGCAATAAACACATATAAACTTATTTTTGTCTGGACCTCAAGTAGGTACTATACCTGCTTAAATATTTTGTCAATATGCAAATGACGCACATCACCATTTTAAATGGTTATAACACCAAATAAATGATTGCACAATCTCGATAACAATTTATGCGAAATATTATTATTTTTGTTTCACAAGTAGGTATAGCAAAATTAAATAACAGATAGTGTAACTGATACATACCTACGAGTAAATAAATCATCAATGAGTTTCAGATAGCATTGTGAAAGTAAACATTTTCATAGCAATTCGTATATTTACCAACACTAGACCCAGTGTTGCACCATCTTACATGACTCCATCCAAAAACACCGGTTATAATAATAGTTACGGTTAAAATTCAGTTGGTGCAACTGAAGCTAAGGTTTTATGTGTACAAAATAATATTTATGTTCTTCTTTTTCCAGAATGATCTTCGTGCTGGTAAGAAGAAGGAACAAAGATACAGTTACTGATCCAAAGAAGAAAGAAGAGTTTGCCAGAACTAACGAAGTTTCGAGGTTTTAGTTCTTCCCAGTGTCATAAAAACTGTAGATTTTGCAACAGTCAAGTCTTAAGTATGTAAATACTAAATACAATATGATAGAGTGAGATAACTATATTATTATGATCTCGAATTATTTTGTCTGGTGGGAATTTTTTGCTTAGTTCTCGACATTTTCAAAGAAAAAAATAGGTGTTAGTTTTAAATGATCAACTATACCATTAATGAATCTGCCACAAAGTTTAGACCAGTGCTGTCCAAACCATGGCCCGCGGGCCGCGTGCGGCCCGCGGTTAGGATTATTGCGGCCCGTAGAATCTTTTTTATCTTCTGTAATTTTTTGGAGCACCTCAAATACATGGACGAAATAAGTAATCGTCGAATTTGAACGGCGTTTTGCAGATTTAAAAAAAACGAGTGATATAGCACTCTTCACTCATCCATTAACGATCGCAGTTGAGAGTGTGAAGATTGATTATCAACTGGAACTGTGTGATCTGCAATCAGACCCCTTTTACAAGGGCAGAACTGAAACAGGACTTGATTTTTTTTAAGCTCCTCGCTGAACGTTACCCGAAACTGACATATTTTAAGTAAAATTTCCTCGATTTTTGTTAAGATTGAAGCAAGGATCACTCAATCCACATGCACATAATTTCGGGCAAAAAATGGGCTCGATTATCACCTTTGTGAGAGTGCATATTCTACAATTAAGCTTATTGGCCCTGGTCCTGGGTCCTATCTAGTTTGGACACCCCTGGTTTAGACTAAGATTAACATAGAAAAAGTAGAATCTTTTAAAGAACGATAAAACCTTTAATAACGAAAATAAGCTCCAAATATGATTCAGGCCCTTTATGTTCAAGTGGGTCGTGGTGTGGGTCTGTCTACATCCCGTACAGACGTCAGACAGGTCACGGTTGGCCACCAGATCCATCTGGAGATAGGATGATGATGCCATCACCCTACGTGCTATATTTTCTTTACTTTTATGGAAGAATAATAGGTAGCTTTATATTCCAACTTTATACAAATACAATGTAAATAATATTATTAGCTATAATAAATAACAAAATAAGTTAGTATAAGAATTATGTACTTAGTCTGCTTCTATTATTTTTTGCCTCTCCCATAAAATAACAGAACACCATCCCATTAACGTAAAAATATTTTAATTACCGATATTTTGGCTAAGATAAACATAAAGAGACTTCCAAAAAATGTATCCAAATTAATGTTATAAACAAACTACTGAGAACAAAATTTTGTATAAAAATGAAAGTTGGTTGCACTCGTGAATAAATTTGCGGCGCCAGCGCATGAACAAAGTCGCAATTATTTTTATTGTTTTTAAACTTTTTACCGAAAGTGATAAAATTGATATTCCTTTTGTAGGTTGCACACTTTCACTGAGATTTCACCTACCAAGTGACAAATAAATACAATGACAGGGTCTGCTTAAATTGTATTAAATTTTAATGTAAACATTAAATTAAATTAAGGATGTCAGTACTTTGTCGATAAGGTCAATTTAAAGCAAAAGATCACTACATTTAAATAGAAAGGAGAAGGTCCATAATGTATAGACCAAAAACCCAAAATCGATTCTGTGTTCTTTTTACCATCTCCTTTAATTATTAGTTTTTAGGTAAGATAAAACCTCCGCCATACGATTGCTGGTCTACCAATATTATTGTTGTTAATGAATTTTATCTAAGTTATAATATACATTATATTAAAGTGATGTGAGTGACTACAGATCGTCGTGTTTATTTATTTACTAAAGTTCATTGGCCCTTTATCTCTGTAAATAATGTGTATTTGTAGTTGTTAAGAACATTCCGAGTGTTTTCACTTGTATTTTAACGGTTATGCTATCTTTTAATAGGCACTTGACGAAAACAAACGAAAATCCATGATAGTAACAAATTAAAATAAACAGTCATGTTAAAAAGATCTGATCGTTTCAGCCAAATGACGTCCACTGCTGGAGAAAGACCTCCCCCAAGGATTTTCATAACTACCGGTCTTGCGCTGCCTACCGGAAGGACGCCACCTTCACCAGATCGTCGGTCCACATAGTGGGAATCTTATATTATAGGAAAAAGAATTGGGTTACTTCTCCCGATTATAGTTTTATGCATTAACTTACTCGTTTAATATTTGTCTACTGTTTCTAGCTGCCGAAGTTTCTGAACATAAGATGCCAATTTGAGTACCGATACAGATGGGCATCGCAAAACTGGCCAAGATCGATTTTGCAAATTTTGCGACACAAACGAATATCGAATTATTCAGAAGCTGTCAAATCCAGAACAATACAGTTTGAGGATGGCATAAAACTAAATCTTTATAACATCGTTCATTTTGATGCAGACGTTATTTATATTCTATGTAGCCTTTGCCTGTGACTTCGCCCGCGTTAGTTTCGGTCTGTCAAAAGATTTCATTGAGCGCATCCCTTTTGATAAACTGGAATAAACCTATCCTATGTTTCACCCTGGGCCCCAAACTATCTTTCAACCTAATTTCATTTGAATGGATTCAGTAGTTAAAGCGAAAAGGTTACAGACAGCTACTTTCGTATCAAAAATATTAGTAGAGATTTATACAAAGACGCTTACTACTAAAAGCGCCACTGGTTTTTACGACGGTACAAATTCAAGCCAAACATACAAAATATTGACAGCTTCAATTTTGCGAAGTTTTGACAGAGGTAAGCTAGCCATGACGATAGAATTACTCATAAAGGAAACCACATACCGTGAGATTTGGAACGCGATACAAACAGGTTTTAATCTCATTGTTAAATTAATAACTTGTTCTACTTAATTCCAATATTAAGTATTCATTAAAACTTCGATTATGCAAAGTTTTGCGACTATGCTCTAAGCTTATTCTTAAAATATTACTTCTATTACAAATAACTCAGACCAGCTCGCAAGAAAAGGCTAAAACTTTAGATATCCCTGTTATAACAAAGCTAGCGTTTCAGTCAGATCCTAGCGTTTGAAAATGTGACGTACAGTCCTAATTCCAGGATTAAGTGAAATTTACGGGATCCCTTTGAACAACAGTACGTAATGAACACTAGATTAGATACAATTTCAGGGTCATTAATATTTAATTCGACGGGTAGGATAGTTATTATACTTGGAATCCTAGGTGCGTGTAGAATTTGACTTAATAATGAGAGGTATTCTGAGTGAATGATTAAAGTTGGGTAGTTGACACCAACAATAAATTGAAATTACTAATTCTTCTTCTTATTTGTTACGCTCTTGGCAGAGCGGTCGTGGTCACTAGGGTGGAGCGAAAAATTTTTTTTTACATTTGCGTTTGTGAATACCCCTTAAAAGTTGTATCTTGTTGCTACGGTTACGAGAAAAATAAATAAAAAAATATTGAGACCATTTTTTAGCCCTCTACTGGCTTTTAAATATTTCATAAAAAAAAAAATGGGACTTTATTGCAAAAATCATAAATTACCTTAGAATAGTTTTTATTTGATAAATAATATATTTTTGTAACTTTAAATATAATATACATCGTAAAAAATAATTGTATAACATTATAAGCTTGTCATAAACTTAAAAAAATACATTATTAAAAGCGCCGATTATAAGCTAAACTCACAGTCAGCGCGTAACTTTGCCACTTGAACTGTTAACATCAGAATTAGTCCAGTTACCTATTTTCTTCTTTCTATCTTTGTCTTATGTCTTTATCTTTAGTTAACTGATATTAATCAAGTAGATAGTTCGTAATTGCGTTGTCTAATATTGTTCCAAATTCAAAATAAAATCGAAATTAAGCACTCGTAGTGACCTATTTTAGGATCTCCTTATTTGTTTTGTACCTTAATCAGTGTTACAACTGACACCTGCTTTTTTTAATTAGATAGAGTGATTCAAGAGGAAGGTTTTTAAGTATAATACATTACATTGTACCTATGCGAAGCAGGGGCGGGGTCGCTAATCGGAAATAAAATAAAATAAAGTAAACAGCCCGTTGTATTTATCAAAGGACAATGTTCGTTCTCCATACATTGTTCGCCGTTAGATCAACAGTGCCGAAATAATACTTTCTAGGTTCTAAATGACACAAATCTTTATGTAAGAACAATTATTCCTGGCGGACCAATTCTATAAACTTATTGATAGCAATATTGTTATCATAACTAGAGATGAAACGGATAGTTGTTTGGCCGGATACCGGATACCGGATATCCGGCGAGCTGCTAGGCCGGATAGCCGGATATCCGGCGGCCGGATAGTTGGCCGATTGTCTCGTTGCATGTCGTGACGAGTTTAGCGCCGCACAGGAGCTTCGAACGTGATCAGTGGGTCTAGTAAACTAGACAATTAGTCACACTTTTCGAGAATCGAATCCGTCCGAATATAATGTCAGATTTTGCCACTTGTCTAGGGGGCAGATGAATTCGGGCGATTTCGGTTGCCATCGTGAGTGTGTGATTGAATAGCAAAATTAAATTAGTTTACTTGCTGCGTAATCTGACTGAATTGCTACATGTCATCAGACTGAACTGCATCATGTCATCAGACCATCAGTGAAAAAAAGATCGCCTATTTTTTTTTGGCAATATTTCGTTATTAATACACTCAACATCAAATAAACCGCACCTTCCGCGACGTGAACTTTAAAGATTTTCTTCTGACACAATCATGGTGCCTCAACAATATTGGTGTTATTTGAAAGCCCAATAAATATCCTTAAAGAAAAACACATTTAATTTCTTAATAAATGATTAACATATACCATAAATGTGACTTGAAAAAAAACCTCACTTTGGGCTCACCTCTGGGATCAATTAGACCAAATTTTATGGTTATAAAACCAAATAATGATCACACGTGTCCTCTTTAACAGATGGATAGCGATTAATCCCAACTTAACAGTTTTATAGGCATAAAAGTTGGCTCAAGCGGAACTACCTATTTTTTGAAGGAGTGACTCTGGATCCTTCTAAAGACACATTTTTGGGGTAAAAACCTATCCTTTAATGAAATGAAGTTTAGAACTAGGCTTTTAAATGGTGCCAATATTGGTGGGAAGTGGGTTTGCATACGTTTGAGAAGTGCTTGTTGCGGGAGGTGCGATTTATTCGATGCCGAGTGTAGATATTTACTATTTATGTATTCGTCATTACAGTGAATAAGAAACAAGTTTTTTGAAATTCCTTAATATGGCTTTTTGTAACTGTAGAAAAATAATTACTAATTACCTACTTATTTATTAGGACGAATTATTAATATTTATGTAGGTATACCATGATTGATACTTTTGGAGTCGGTGCAGGCAAACTTTACATGTTTCATAATCTTGGCACCGACTCCAGAAGTATCAATCATGGTATACCTACATAAATATTAATAATTCGTCCTAATAAATAAGTAGGTAATTAGTAATTATTTTTTTACTTTTTAGTGTAGGTTTTTTGGAGTCGGTTTTATTTTTTTTTATAAAATTTTACTTATTTCAATTATTTCTAGTAGTGATTTTTCGAATTAAACTTTTTTATGCATAAAATTTATTTTCTTTTTACAAAACACCTTTAAATTAATTCTATTTTCATTGTTCTGTTTAATAATACAAACATTTTAGAAAATTGCCATACAATAAAAAATAATTAAATTAAAACGACGGTAGAGGGCTAAAAAATACATTTTAAAAATAAAATAAAAATATCCTTGTTATTATCTTGCTCTCATGCAACTTTTAGCAGGTATTCAAGTTCGTTTACGTAACTTTTTTTTTAACCATACAATGACGCTCCACCCTAGTGGTCACGTTGAGGCATTGCCATTGTTCACATCGGTTTTAGAGGCGGATACAACTCTCCGCACGATCTCCCTCCATCTCTCTCTATTGACAGACTGTCTGGTGCAGTCACATACCTACGCCGTCTCCCAACTGCTGCTTTCACTTGGTCGGTCCAGCGCATTGGTGACCTGCCACGCGATCGGGTTCCTTTACTACTAATTAATTTGGTCCAATAGCAATTCATGTATTTGGTTAGAGAATGGAAACAATATGATTGATAACTAGAACTAATTTTATTAATTTCAAACCAAAATTAATTTGTTTTTTAAGCCAACAAAGTTATAAGGTGTTTAACAGAACCTTAGGGCACTAGAACAAATCTAATTCACTTTATTGAGTGATCATTGTGTCATTTAATTGTTT